GAGGGTAGGCAAACCCGCCCGCACCTGTGTATTATCTGCAACACCCGGTACATGTGGTAAAAAAAATAAAAAATAAATTGATACGTGGACAAATTAACGTCGATCTAGCAAAAAAGATAATGCGGGAAAAACTAAAAACTTCCAAACTTAAGGTATTGTGCGTAAAACAAATTTTTGTTGTTTAAAAATTGACCTGAATATCGAGAAGGAAAACAAAAATATTTTGTCGTGCTGGCGGTACTGCGGGGGGCAGTGCGGGCGCAGGGCGGGCGCAGCAGGGCGAAAGGCTGCGTCGTTTATTTGATTTGTGCGTTGAGGTCCCTCGGCGGGGGCCGCGGGGCCCCGCGGCTGTTTACTGCCCAGCCGAGGGAGCCTCCACGACCACCGCCGTCTGCGGCCGCGGCGTGGCGCAGCGTAGCGCTCTGGAGCGCCCCGGGGCCAGCATACCGAAAATTGGGCGGTTTCCTCCGGACGCCATAACTCCCCTCTCTCCCTAACAAATCGGCAAAAACTGGGGCGAAAAATATCTACTTTTTTTTCCTGGGCTAGCCCTTTATACTTTATTTACACTTCAAGCCGCAGTATGTGTAGAGGCGGGGAGGCTACGACTGGGGTATGTACTCACTCAGGGCGAACATGAGCTGCCGGTGGAGGCCGGACTGTAGCAGCACGGCGGCCTGCGCGGCCGCGGGGCTGGCGGGCCCGATGCGGCGCGCGCCGTCCCGCAGCGCCGCGAGCACGCGCTGGAACTGCTGCTGCTGCTCGCGCGGCTCGCGCGCCGGCTCCCGCAGCCGGGCCGCGCCGTCCTTGGCCGGCACCAGCCAGCGCTGCAGCAGCGTCCGGGACTCCGGGTCGGCGCCGGCCAGCAGCTCGCGGTGCAGCGCCGCGTCCAGGAGCACGGGTGGCGGCGCGGCACGGGCCTCGTCGCCCACCAGCACCAGGAAGAAGCACAGCTGGTTGACGCGGAAGCTGTCCCGGATGTCCTCGAGGTGGTCGTCGAACATGTGCGGGTCGAGGAGCGGGTCGCAGGTCTCGGCCGAGCCATAGTGCATGTCGACCAGCTCGATCTGCAGCGGACAGAGGGAAGGGAGGGGTCCCTTTCATGAGGAACAGCTGATGCGAATCAGTAAACTTGGAGAAAATCTATCAGAACTCACCTCAAAGCCCGAGTTATCATACTGCGTCTGCAAGTCCGGCCCCACCTGCTCCAGCAGCATGCGGCGCTCCTCTGCGAACTCTGGAACACGACGGGAGTGTGGTCAGCGGCGAGATAGAGTACGTACTGAGAGGGGTCGCGGCCGACGCCGAGTTCCATGGACTATCCGTTGATTAATTAATTTGGAAAAGGAAGAGGGGGAGAAAAATACAGAGGTACGCAAAAAGGGGAAGAAAAAGGGGGATGGGGAGAGATAGAGGGGGGACGAGCGCGAGGCATTCACCGCTGCCATCACAAGGCAAGGACGAAGGCCCCGGGTGGAGAGGCTCAACTTTTTCCCTCCAAAGCGACCGACGAGCAGCCGGCGACCTCGTCACAAAAGGACCCCCTTCATCCCAAGTTAAATTAGTTCGGAATAAAATCCAATCAAACATGCCAAAACAGTAATAAGTCCGAATGAATGGCGCCCCGCTTTCACCTCAAAATAAACGAAGGGGTATTGGGAGGCATGAACAATTCGGGGGGCTCTACTCAGACAGCCTTTTACATTGGTTCATCTCTCTCAAAAGCTTTGCGGCCGAACCCCCTTAATGGCGAGGCCTCAGCACGCACCTCTCTCGCCTCTTACCTCCATCCCCCCCCCCCCCCCCCCTAACCTATACCTCCCGTTATTCCGACAGAACAGGACACTTGGCTGAACACCCTCGCTGTCAGACCTAACTCCTCTCGAGCGCTGGCTGCTGGACCCCGCTGGGGCTATCCATCCCGCTCAGCGCATCCTCAGCGTCTGCTCGCCGCCCCCATCGCCGGCAGCCTCCAGCACAAAGTACTCTGTGGCCGCCGCAGCCCTCCTGCCTGCTGGGGAGACTGAGTCGAGTCAAACTCAAGGCCTCGCAGTGGCACATTAAAAATTAGTGTGCTGCAGTCAGAACTTATTTTCATGAAGTGATGTATCTTAAGTTTTCGTATACATTGCCGAGAGCAGAGCACAGTCGCAGTGCGCCCGCGGCCCCTCCTTCCCAAAGGACCGGCCGGACCCGCCCAAAGGCGGACAGAAGACGTACGGATAAAGAAAAACTCCCGCTTCTCGAGAAGTCGAGTGAGAAGCCATACGTCATGCGGCAAGGTCGCTGTCCTCGTCCCACTCAAGCCCAGACGCCAAGAGCTGCCGAGGTGCCCGACAGGATGTGCGGGGCTTGGCAATAAATGTGAGGAAAGGGGAGCAACGGGTTTGTGTGAGTGTGAGCAAGAGAGAGACAGGGAGAGAGGGAGAGAGAGATAGAGAGAGAGAGGGGGGAGGGGGACGGCATAGGTGAGAGGGGGTGGGATGGAGCAAGTGGCCCCGTTGTCTGTACCGCCGAGCTAAAGCCCGGCGCCTGAGCCAGCCCTCCGTCCTCCCGCCCTCATTGACCTCCCCTGGGTGCGGGTCGGGGGGCTGCCGGGGGGAGGCTGGCAGGACGGGGGCCGGTGCAGGTCCTGGCCAGGTTGATTAAAACCATATCCATCCCCTAACCGGGGGTGGCGTGGGGGAGAGGGTTTGGCTTTATCGGAATCTCCCCCCTCCGCCCTCCCTCCCCACTCCCCGCTGGTCTAGAGCCCAGCCCGAGCTCCCCGTCCAATGACCACCCGCAGTACCCGGATACTCCGACGCTGCCCGCTGCGAGAAGACGTGATTTGCGAGTCTCATTACTTGACGCATGTGTCCTGTCCGGGGGGAAGCGACATCCTCGCCTCGGCCAGCTCCGGCAGCAGCTCCGGGCGCGTGGACGCGGGCCTCGCCCGCCCAGCCCAGCCACCACGTCCGGCGCAGAGGCCACTCAGTCGGAAGGGGTGGGGGTGATGAACACGTGGGGGGCGCGGGGCGGGACGTCTGCTGGACCCATTTCAAACACTTCCGCGTCCTTGTACCTCCCCCCGCCCACCACGTCACCCTCTCTCCCTGAGGGGGAAGAGGACGAATGTGGCGCGAGAGGCACAAGAAAGGGGAGCAGGGGGATGGGGGAGAAAAAAGTCACCTAAGCGAAAGAGAGGGCGGTGCGCAGGGCGAAGCCACAAGCCACGCCGAGTCTGGACGCGAGACGGGGGGAACGAACAACAGGAAATGCCGGGGAAATGCCATTAACCGGCTCCGACATATTCCGACTACAACTCGTAACTCGTTGCATTAGGAATAGGCGCATGAATGAAATATTTGTTGCGCGAACATTCTTCGCCCAAGGAAGGAGGCTCTAGAGCAATGCAAAGAGGAAGAGTGAACACAGGGGGATTAAGGTGGGGGCTAGAGATGAGCGAACATGTTCGAATTCGATCGAACTCGAACGAACATCGAGCTGTTCGTGATCGCTCGTACACGAACATGAGGTATTCGGATTCGAACTATTCGAGCACTTCTCGAACACAATTCCAGTATATATTTCAGAAAGACGCATAATGTATGGTCGCAATTAAGGGGGCAATGGCAGGTTAATAAATAACTGCAATTTTAAACGTTAATGGCAATATTGTAATCCATCATATCAAAAAACAAATTTCAATAATTGTTCGTGTTCGGATCGAATTTTTGAACATTAAACTGTTCAGGTAGGTTCGTTCACAGATAAAAATGGTTGTTCGTGTTCGTGTTCGTTCGAAGATGTTTAGACCAAATTTGTTCAAGTTCGTTCAAATTTGAACTGGCCTGTTCGCTCATCTCTAGTGGGGGTGAGTCGAATCATGTAGTCGACGCGAAACCCGGGTGGAGCCCACCCCATCCCCCACTGTCGCGTCTGGGATGCGCCAATGTGGCCGGACAGGCCGCCTGGCACACAGGGGGGCGACCCGAAGGGAGGCGCGGCGTGGCCCTCCCTGACCGGCGCGATATAAACGCCCAGCCGTGAAATCGCATCACACGAGACAAGAGACAAACGCTCGGGCCGGGCGCGTCGTTGTGTACAGCAGCAGCCGGGCGGGCCGGGCCGGGCGCCAGCCACGCGCCCCGCGGCGGACCAGGAAAACAAAACAGAAAAGGGGGGGAATATAAGGGAGTGGAAATGAAAGGGGTAGGGGGACTAAATTTACAAACTGGGTCGCATTCTGTCGCACGCTTCGCGCAGAGCGGCGCAGAGCTCGGCTAGGCGGGCGCGAGCGGAGCGCGTGTGTGTGGTGGTCCGGCGGGTCCGGCCCCGCTGCCCGGCGACAGTTGGACCGGCACAATCCATCAGCGGCCGCCCCGCCCCGCCCCGCCCTGCCCCGCCC